CACCACCATTACCACCACCATCACACCACCACCATCACCACCTACACCATCACCATCATCACTGCTGACCAATTATCATCACCACACCACCATCATCACCACACCACCATCATCACCACAATAACACCACCATCATCACCACACCACCATCACCACACCACCATCACCACACCACCACCACCACACCACCACCACACACCACCACACCACCATCACCACCACCATCACCATTGATCACACCATCACCACACCACCATCATCACCACACCACCATCATCACCACACCACCATCATCACCACACCACCATCATCACCACACCACCACCACCACATTCACCATCATCACCACACCACCATCATCACCACACCACCATCATCACCACACCACCATCATCACCACACCACATCATCACCACACCACCATCACCACACCACCATCACCACACACCACCATCATCACCACACCACCACCACCACCACACCACACCACACCACACCATCACCACACCACCTACAAATAAGAAGGTCTTACGGCATAGGTCTCAGTGTAAGGAAGCCTCGCCTCGACCTGAATGGGCCAGTTGTCAGAGTTGCTTGATAGCCGAGAGCCAAGACGCGTCGATTAAACCTGTAGTGTTCCTGTCTTTGTAGAGTACCGTGCTGTAGTACTGTATGAACCTGTAGTGTTCTCGGTTCTTAGAGTACTGCTAGAAAAGAATGTATGGAACTTGCAGTGTCTTTGCCTTTAGAGTACTGTGCTAGGAAAGTACTGCAGGAACTCTTGTAGTGTTCTGTCCTTGTAGAGTACCGTGCTGTACTGTATGAACCTGTAGTGTTCCTGCCCCTGTAGAGTACTGTGCTGTAGTACTGTATGAACCTGTAGTGTGCTCCTGTCCTTAGAAAGTACCGTGCTGTAGTACTGTATGAACCTGTAGTGTTCCTGCCCTTGTAGAGTACCGTGCTGTAGTACTGTATGAACCTGTAGTGTTCCTGTCCTTGTAGAGTACCGTGCTGTAGTACTGTATGAACCTGTAGTGTTCCTGCCCTTGTAGAGTACCGTGCTGTAGTACTGTATGAACCTGTAGTGTTCCTGCCCTTGTAGAGTACCGTGCTGCAGTACTGTATGAACCTGTAGTGTTCCTGTCCTTGTAGAGTACCGTGCTGTAGTACTGTATGAACCTGTAGTGTTCCTGTCCTTGTAGAGTACCGTGCTGTAGTACTGTATGAACCTGTAGTGTTCCTGCCCTTTGTAGAGTACTGTGCTGTAGTGCTGTATGAACCTGTAGTGTCTCTGTCCTGTAGAGCACCGTGCTTAGCACTGTATGAACCTGTAGTGTTCCTGCCCTGTAGAGTACCGTGCTGTAGTACTGTATGAACCTGTAGTGTTCCTGTCCTGTAGAGTACTGTGCTGTAGTACTGTATGAACCTGTAGTGTTCCTGTCCTTGTAGAGTACCGTGTTGTAGTACTGGCGAACCTGTAGTGTTCCTACCTTGCAGAGTAATGTGCCAGTACTGCATGAACCTGTAGTGTTCCTGTCTTTGTAGAGTACTGTGCTGTAGTACTGCATGAACCTGTAGTGTTCCTGTCCTTGTAGAGTACTGTGTTGTTGTACTGTATGAACTGTAGTACCCTGTCCTTGTAGAGTACCGTGCTGTAGTACTGTATGAACCTGTAGTGTTCCTGTCCTTGTAGAGTACCGTGCTGTAGTACTGTATGAACCTGTAGTGTTCCTGCCCTTGTAGAGTACCGTGCTGTAGTACTGTATGAACCTGTAGTGTTCCTGCCCTTGTAGAGTACCGTGCTGTAGTACTGTATGAACCTGTAGTGTTCCTGCCCTTGTAGAGTACCGTGCTGTAGTATGCGTTTGATCGCTGACTCTAGTTTCAAATTCTACTTGTCAATAAGACCAAAAATAACGAGGGTTTGTGAGTAGAGCATTATAGGTAGTTCGCTCCTAAGTGTGTATACGAGGTCAATTGTTATTATCAGTGGGTGGAGGAACTAACTGGACAGGGGTTATCGTAGTATTGAAGTGTGATAATGCGTAGTAGTAGTGTGGGGTAAAATGTCACCAAATAAAACAGCAAAACAGAAATGAATTATGTTTTTGTATAAGACAACAGTAATAATATAATGCTTTATTGGGTTGAGAGTTTTGGGATTGACGTTTATAACACAGTGGGTGGGTGGGTGGGTAACTGAACAATTGTCACCACCTTCAGAGCGTCACCTCGTCTTCCTGCCTTTACCTAGGATCGGCCCTCTTGGTGTAGCTGTATAATACTTAAAGTGTTTCTCTTCATCAATGACGTGTTGGGTGTATTGTGGCTGTATTAACATGTACTTTTTCTTCATGTGTTTTAGCTTTAATTGTTTATTTTAACAAGTTTTGATTTTGTTAACACTAATCTGTATAATGTACTAATATTTTGAATTGATCTCTCTCTCTCTCTCAATAATGTACCAGTATTCTAACACACTCTCTCTCTACCCCCCCAGTGATGTGCCCGGTACTGTGCTCTGGCAACGGGGAGTACCGGGATGGAGAATGTATCTGCAGACCGGGATGGAAGGGCCGGGAGTGCAGTATTCGCCATGATGAGTGTGAGGTGCCAGATTGTAATGGTCACGGGCAATGTGTTGACGGTCGGTGCCACTGTGCCAAGGGCTTCAAGGGCGAGTTCTGTGAGGAAGGTCAGTGTCATGTGGAGGTCAGGTCATTTGTTTATGTTAAGTCAGGTCATTTATTTTATTGGTATGGTGTGTGATTATGTTAGGTTAGGTTTGGTTACGTTAGTTTATTTAGGTTAGGTTTGTTTAGTTAGTTTAGTCAGTTTAGATTAAGTTTGTTTTGGTTAGGTTGGGGTTGGTTAGGTTAGGTTAGGTTAGGTTAGTTTAGTTTAGTTTAATAATGTTTGTTTAGGTTAGATTAGAGTAGGTTCATTATGATCATTATGACATTAGTTTATTACTCTCCCTCGTAATAGCTAGGGACATGGTCAATAGCCTCGATATAACACGTCCCTCCATACAACAGATGACTGCCCGCACCCTACGTGTTCGGGCCACGGCTGGTGTGTGTCAGGCAAGTGTGTGTGCCAGAGAGGATGGCGGGGCGCAGACTGTGGCAGCACGGACGATGCCGCCCTCCAGTGCCTCCCGGACTGTAACGGACACGGACAGTTCGACCTTGAGAGTCACCAGTGTATCTGTGAGCCGGAGTGGACCGACTCTGAGTGTGGCACGCGTGAGTACATCCTTCAAGTCCTACTCCAAGTTCTATTTTTTTTAAGTTTTTCTCGTGTTTCTGAGGACTTGGTTGTTCCTATGTTAAAACCTACTTATAGATACTGTATATATATATATATTTGTAGAGGTTTATTTTAAAGGTGTAACTGATTCTATAAAAATAACTCCAAGATGATGACGTCGAAAGTACACAGAGACTTGACCATAAATAGAGGGAGGATTGCCTATGATGTCGGCTGACGGGTATTAAGAACCTTTGAGAATCTGTTGACAATATAATGATGTTAATAATAGGGTTTTTTCCCTCAGGTATGTCAGGTTTTATGTTTAATGTTGAAATAGAAAGTAAAACATTATGACCACTTTTATTTGTATTTTACTCACATGTTGACTTAGTTAACCTTCTCTTGCCTTCTGCTTTGATATAAAACATAGCTGGTGACTTTTTTCGTGTCTGTCAGTATAGCTTAACTTAACACAGGTTTGTGGTGGTTACTGTAAGTGTGTACAGCTCTGTAATGGCGTATACAGTTTATCACATGATTATTAACCTGTTGTAAAAACCTGCAGTTGGTTGTCAGAGTAACGTGTCGTTACCTTGATCACGTGTTACAGGTGTATGTGGGCTGGACTGTGGACCACATGGCAGGTGTGAGGGCGGCGCCTGCCTCTGTTCCCCGGGCTGGACAGGTGACCGCTGTAACCTAATGACCTGTGACCCCAGGTAAGTTACATAAACATTTCCTGTACTGTAGTCTCGTGTGTGTGTGTGTGTGTGTGTGTGTGTGTGAAACAGAACTATATCCAGTAGCGTTTGGTGCCGTGGTTAGACGTGTCTGTATAACGCAAGTGGGACACAGTGGTCGTTTTTGGAGACCCACACACTCATCCACAGCCAACCATCCATCCAACTAACCACACTATTCATCCACAGGCATACATCCATCCCCCATTCACACACCCTCCCCACTCCCCACACACACACCCTCCCCACTCCCACACACACACACACACACACACCCTCCCCACTCCACACACACACACCCTCCCCACTCCCACACACACACACACACACACCCTCCCCACTCCCACACACACACACCCTCCCACCCCACACACACACCTTCCCCACTCCCTACACACACACACCCCCCCACCCCACACACACACACACCCTCCCCACTCCTCACACACCCCCTCCCCACCCCTTTTTCCCTCCCCACCCCCACGCACCCTCCCCACCCCCACAGGCACCTCCTCCCACCCCACACGCACCCTCCCCCCACCCCCACACGCACCCTCCCACCCCCCACACGCACCCCACCCCCCCACACGCACCCTCCCCACCCCCACACGCACCCCCCACCCCCACACGCACCCTCCCACCCCCCACACGCACCCTCCCCACCCCCACACACCTCCCCACCCCTACACGCACCTCCCCCACCCCCACACGCACCCTCCCCCACCCCTACACGCACCCTCCCACCCCTACACGCACCCTCCCCACCCCCTCACACGCACCTCCCCACCCCCACACGCACCCTCCCCACCCCTACACGCACCCCTCCCCACCCCACACGCACCCTCCCACCCCCACACGCACCCCTCCCCACCCCCACACGCACCCTCCCCCCACCCCCCACACGCACCCCTCCCCCACCCCCACACGCACCCCCCCCACCCCCCACACGCACCCCTCCCCCACCCCTACACGCACCCCTCCCCACCCCCACACGCACCCTCCCCACCCCCACGCACCCCTCCCACACACCCCACACGCACCCCACACACACCCCACACGCACCCCACACACACCCCACACGCACCCCCACACACACACCCCACACGCACCCCACACACACCCTCCCCACCCCTACACCCTACACACACCTCCTCCCCACGCACACCCTCCCCCACCCCCCCCACACACCCCTCCTCCCCCACCCCCCACGCACACCCCTCCCCACCCCCCACGCACACCCTCCCCACCCCCCACATGCACACCCTCCCACCCCACCCACACCCCCTCCCCCAACCCCTCACCCCAACCCCCACCCCCACCCACCCTCCCCACCCCACCCACCCTCCCCCACCCCCACCCACACCCTCCCACCCCTCACCCACCCTCCCACCCCCACCACACCTCCCCACCCCCACCACACCCTCCCCACCCCCCACCCACACCCTCCCACACCCCTCCCCACCCCTACACACACCCTCCCCACCTACACACACCCTCCCCACCCACACACACCCTCCCCACCCACACACACTCTCCCCCTACCCACCCACACACACCCTCCCCACCCACACAGGTCGTAACACTTCCACACGTAGTTAACTGAGGGAGTTTTTCTGTGACCCGCCAAAGAGCGGCTGTTTGGCTGCCGGGTCTGGCTGGTCATTAAGCTCAACCCACCGTTTTGTATGCAGATTGGTAGAGGCCTGGGCGAGGTGATTATTGCTCCTTCACGCCCATTTAGCTGGTGTGGGCGGCGTGTGGCGGCCTTTATTAGACTCTGAAGGGTTTTAGATCAGAATCCCGAGTTGTCATCACAGATTTAAGTTAATAATAGTAATGTTAATAGAAGTTAATTAACCATATACAGTACTGGGTTGTGGTAGCCCCTTGTGGTGCTGTCATAAACGTGAAGGTTTGCCTTGATATGAATATAAATGTCGGTGGAGACTACTTAATCTAACCTTATATACACTTTAGTGGAGTCGAACAGCTTAATGGCGCCACACTATCATCAAGGTGTCGTCTACTGCCTCTAGATATGAATAGAAATGAACCTGAAAACAATTAACCCAGGCTGTGTAGATTAGTAGTGCCCGGCCGTGCCCAGAGTAGGGGCCGGGCACTGATTTTTCATGTCCATGTGCCCGGCCGACAAGCCAATACTCAGGGAGGTAAATACTTAGAGAATCTGTCAGGTGCTGCGTGATCCAATCTGCCCGTGTTTGTTTACCCAGAGAGGTCAACAGTGTTCCGGGATTAATGACCAATCCGCCTCTTATCAATGTCAAGTTGTCAACATGTCAAAGGAACCACCAAGCTGAGAGGCTGTTGACGCGAGGTGAAAAGTAATAACGTCACATGATAAGGGTTACCGCCATGACACCAGCCGGAAGCTGCAGTTGTCCGCTGGATGGAGAAGGGAGAGGATCTCACATCAACAGGTTGGAGTAAATATTTAAATACGAACTACGACAATGTACTTTTATATCGGTAGTGAGTTATTAACACTCACCTATACATCACCTATTGAGCAGAAAAAAAATAATAAATAAGTTAAAATTTTTATAAATCTATTTTTTGCCTTAGTTTAAGTGAGGCAGTTAAATGCTTCCTCAAACCCCTCGTTAAAAAGTTACGCACATGCCTTTGAAAATCCTTCTGGTGTGTCGTAGTCTAAATGGACCTGTTAAATGCGTTTTCACTTAAAGTTAAAGAGGGAAAAAATTATATAGGAACGTTTGAGGATCCCATCAGTGATACAGTTGAGGTACGTTTTTTATGTCACCAATTTAAGGGTAAACTTTAGTAGAAGGTCCATTAACACTAAAGACCTCACTGTTTTTTTGTTTTTTTAATTGTCGCAAAATACCTCGAAGATTTCAAGTAACAAAGAGAAAAAAAAGTTTCAAAAAAAAAGTTTCAAAAAAAAAGTTTCCAAATAACTTCGGTAAGATTTCAAATATTTAAATCTTGACGAACTTGCGCGCACACACACACACACACACACACACACACACACACACACACACACACACACACACACACACACACACACAGAGTTTAGGAACCACTAGTTTAAAATGATGGGGGCATTTTCACGCTGCCATTCACACTGAGGTGGTGATGGGGAGGAAGGGCAGGTGTGGTGTGATGGGTAGCTGTGGTGTGATGGGTAGAATAGTTACAGTTGTAGGTGATGGGTGAAGGTATTGTGGTGGTGATGGGGAGGAATACTAGGTGTGGTGGTGAGGATGGGAGAAGGAAGCAGCTGTGGTATGATGAGGAATAAGAGGTGGTGTGGTGATGGGTGAAGGTAGCTGTGGTAGGATGGTAGAAATAGGGTTAAGAACAGATGGTGATGTAAGTAGAAGGGCAGTTGTGGTGGTGATGGGGAGGAAGGCCAGGTGGTGGTGATGGGCGAAGGCCAGCTGTGGTGGTGATGGGTGTGCTGGGTAGCTGTGGTGGTGATGGGGAGGAAGAAAGGGCAGTCAGATGGTGGGGATGGGGTGAAGGGTAGCTGTAGAGATGGGGAGGAAGGCCAGGTGTAGGATGGGTGAAGGTCAGCTGTGTGGTGGTGATGGGTAAAGGGTAGCTGTGGTAAAGTGATGGGAGGAAGGGCAGGTGTGGTGGTGATGAGTGAAGGTAGGTGTAGGTGATGGGTGGGGCATGGGCAGCTGTGGTGGTGATGGGTGAAGGGTAGCTGTGGTGGTGATGGGGAGGAAACAGTGTGGTGTGGATGGGTGAAGGCAGCTGTGGTGGTGGATGGGGAGGAAGGCAGTGTGGTGGTGATGGGGTGAAGGCAGCTGTGGTGGTGATGGGGTAGGAAGAAAGGGCAGCTGTGATGCAGGATGGTGAAGGGCAGCTGGTGGTGATGGGGAGAAGGGCCAGGTGGTAGGATGGGTGAAGGCCACAGCTGTGGTGGTGATGGGTAAAGGGTAGCTGTGGTGGTGATGGGGAGGAAGGGCAGGTGTGGTGGTGATGAGTGAAGGGTAGCTGTGGTGGTGATGGGTCGAAAGGAAGGGCAGCTGTGGTGGTGATGGGGGAGGGGCAGCTGTTGAGGAGGATGGAGAAGCCTGGTCTCCTCGCCACGTCTCTCGTCACTGCTTCACCAAGCCACCGCCAAGTTGCTCAAGTTTTTAATTAAAAGTGGGTGGCGGCGCTGGGCCTCAAAGCCATGTTCCCGACAATTTGAAAGGTTCTCCAGCAAACGGCGCTAATCAACGTGGCCGGTAAGGCACACTTTACAACCTCCAAGATTGGGATTGTCGACGTAAAGACCAGCTTGTCCCCCCCTTCATCCCAACATGGCTTGCTTCTCCAGTGAGGTAAACCATCCCCCCTCCCTCCCTCCCTCACCGACTGGGAAATTTGTTTTCTTTTTGTTTTACTTGTTTTACAAACACGTGAGATTGCGAGTGTGTTTGTCGCCAGCCAAGATAAGAGTTAGCCCAGGGAGACTTGTGTGTTGCTGGTGCATATTCATCTCCGTATCTGCACCACTGTAGGTTGCTACTTTTTTTTTTTTTAAAGTTTAGAAATGGATAAATTACCTACTTGCTCCAGAAATGAAAATATAATAATTTTGAATTTTGCTACGGATAAGAAATTAAATTTGTACTATAATTTAGAGGAAAAACTCATACTTTTTGCCATTCTCGAGTTTCTTATATTGCTAAGTGAGAAATAATTCCTAATTTTGAAAACCCTGGAGTTGTCTCTCGTATTATTGTTGGACCAGTGTGTTGCTAACCTTGTTACACGCTTAGACACCTTCACTGTTGAAGCTCCGCAGTAACATAACAATTTTGAAAACTCATAATTTTAGTTTAATTTCGCGAGTAAACTCTTTTTTTTCTTTTTTTAAGTAGAGATAAAATGAAAAAAAAATTATATACATTTGACCAGATTAGGAAAACTTAGTACACTTTTGCAAATTCAGTTTTTATTTATTTTTCTTGGACAAATTTATTTTTTTAAAGTTTTTTTTTCGATTGGAAATCTGACTCTTTTTCTGTTATTGAACAACGATTTAAAAAAACCTTCAGGTGTATAGGAAATCATTTATATTTGTCTTATTTTTTTTTACTAAGAATAATTATTTTTATCGAACATTAAACCAGATTCACCTACATTTTGGTGGTGTGAATGAAGGTTTTTCACACACACACACACACACACACACACACACACACACACACACACACACACACACACACACACATTGGTGGCTGTAATATTTTTTGGCTTAGATTAGAACAATTTCATGTATTTTTAATATCCATAGGAGAAGGTAATGGTAGCGTAAAAAAAATCAGGAGGGGGTTTGGAGAGGGAGGGAGGAACCAGCCCAACCCAACCCATACCAAACCCATACCCAACCCATACCCAACCCATACCCAACCCATACCCAACCCATACCCAACCCATACCCAAGCCCAACCCAGCTGAAGAAACACTCGCCCTTGGTAACCAGCAGTGTTCTCGGTACGGGTTAATGTGAGGTCTCAGCCCATTAGGATGGTGGCGGCAGCTTCTACCATTAATCAACCCGGAATTAAGAACCCTTATCCATCATGGCGGCAACCATTACCGCCATTTTTCATCCTGGCTCAAGTTAGCCAAAGAAAAGTTGGTTGTAGAGTGGTGGTGGTGGTGCTGTAGTGGTGGTGGTAGTACTGTAGTGATGGTAGTTGTGGTGGTACTGTGGTTGTGGTGGTACTGTGGTTGTGGTGGTACTGTAGTGGTGGGTGGTGTTGTAGAGTGGTGGTGCTGTAGTGGTGGTGGTAGTACTGTAGTGATGGTAGTTGTGGTGGTACTGTGGTTGTGGTGGTACTGTAGTGGTGGGTGGTGTTGTTGAAATAATGTAGTGGTGGTAGTCGTGATGGTAGTGTAAAGTTGTGGTAGTTGTGGTAGTGCTTTAGAGTGGTGGTAGTTCTGTAGAATGGTTGTAGTGGTGGTAGTAATGTAGTTGTGGTAGTCCTGTAGAGATGGCAGCATCAGATTACATTTGAGATCCTACGACAAGATGAATATTTCCTTACTAAATAGAAATAAACTGGTTAATCTATATTCTGTCTACTGGTGGAGCCTCGATGAGATATTGGCGCCATATTAGACAGTCAGAAAAGTGCTAAAAATTGCTACTGTAGTTCTTTTCTGTTCCAATTTTGAAGAAAATGTTCTCGCGTGAATCATAGAAAACGAAGGAGCTTGGACTCATTTGTTGTTCGTAAACTATTCTTTTTTTCTACCGGATGTTTTGGTCCTAGTGAATACCTTGTCCTATAAAATGTCTTACTTATGTAAATATTACCTTACAAGTCATTACTATATATACAAAGTCAGTTTTTTTTTCGAGACCCTTAATTGTTTTATATTTTAGGACGTCTAATAAACAAGAACATAAAAGTCAATAACAAAGTCTTATCATTGTGCAGAATATTGTAATCGTTTAGGGATCTCTATTATAAAAAAAGTCCCTGTATGAAGTGTTTTTTTAATGAATTGGTTTTTTATGAAGTGTTTGGTCGTTGCCTCAGACCTTGGTGACAAATATGGGAGAGACGAGAATCTGAATCGCGTGAGGGTGGATGTGACTAATGGTGTTCCCTCGTCAACAAAATACTTGAGGAAGGTTAATTTATCTCGTACCTTATTGATTCCTCGCCAAATTTAGGTAAATAATGATGCCGGTGTGTCAGCCTCAGGTGGTGGAGGAAGAGGGAGGTGGGGAGAAGAAGAGGGAGGTGGTGGAGAGGAAGAGAAGGTGATTGGTGGAGGGGAGGCTATTGTATCCCGCCTTCATCCATCCACCCACCCACTACCACCCACCCACACCCACCCACACCCACCCCCACCCACCCACACCTCGCCTACAAGAATAATCAACTCTGAAATACCTGTATGGATTTACCTTGAGTTTACAGATTAATGAATAACAGCGAGAAAGTCATTTGTTGTTGTATGTGTACCTGAGGTTTTTTCTGTTTTAGTGAACGAGTGTGAGAGAAAGTGAGCGAGTGTGAGAGAAAGTGAGTGTTTGTGTGTGTGAGAGAGAGAAAGTGAGTGTGTGTGTGTGTGTGTGAGAGAGAGAAAGTGAGTGTGTGTGTGTGAGAGAGAAAGAAAGTGAGTGTGTGTGTGTGTGTGAGAGAGAGAAAGTGAGTGTGTGTGTGAGAGAGAGAAAGTGAGGGAACGTATGAGAGTGACAGAGACACAGACAGACAGATAACCACATGTATAGGCCCACTGTTTAGATACCGGTCTTAAACCTCTTTGAGACCAGACTTAGACCTGTCTTGGTCACGTAAACTGAGCCTTTGCCCCTTTGAACCGTATTTGAAATTGATCTTCCTTGACCTTGTACCTCCTCCTCTCCCTCTCCTCCTTTCTTCTTCTCCTTTCTTCTCCTCTCCCTCATCCTCCCCCTCTTCACTCACCTACGTTCGTAAAACACAGGATTGAATCTCTGGTCATACAACGAATACGGTAGATTTCTCCACTCGTGTGTGTGTGTGTGTGTGTGCGTGTGTGTGCGCGCCATCTCTCGTTACCGACTCCTTCCTCAAGTCCAAGTTTGACTATAGGATATGTCGAGACCTCATTAATCAGGGGGGAGGTGTGAGGGAGGGGGAGGGGTGAAGGGGAGACAGGTTAGGGAGAGGTGAGGGAGGGAGGGAGGGGGGGTGAAGGGGAGACAGGTTAGGGAGGGAGGTTAAGGAAAGATCGATCTTGCCTTGTAATCCACAGAGAAGGAGGAGGTGGTAGTCTCTCTCTCTCTCTCTCTCTCTCTCTCTCTCTCTCTCCTTCCTATATTAATCTGTAGTACATGATCTGACCACTGGCTGTCCTCACCAAATCCTGTAAGATCTAGTGAGGGCAGAGAGAGAGAGAAAAAAAAACGAGAGAGAGAGACTATTGGAATTACGCTATATTTTTTTTTAATTCAGTTCTACATCATAAAAAACACACATACTGTGATTTGTATGTATTAAGTTAGTGAATCATTTGTTTACAAGATTCGTGATCCATTATCGATGCAAGTCAGCCGAAGGTTCACTTGGAGCTGAAGTTAACCGGAGTGAATCAGGTGAGGTGAGGGTAGCTTAGTCATTACTCACCCAGCCTTGCCCATCCATTGTGGGAGGTCACTCTATCACTGACCCGAGCAATCATGGGTGCCGCTTCTCTCCTTCCTCTCACCTCTACCTAACCTAACCTAACCTGACCTGACCTGACCTGACCTAACCTAACCTAACTTAACCTGGCCCAACCCCATTCAAGTAGCTGGGTGGGTGGGGAGGGGGACTATTCTTTAGGTGATGTACCTACTACCAATTATATATTTTTTTCAAGAGTCCCCCCAGACCATAGGAGCTAATCGCCATAGATATAGAAAACGGGGTGTCATCTGAGTTAGTTGTGGTCGTTACGAGTCGTTATGGGATGATGATGATGATCTTCTATTTGGCTGGTGGGTTTTGGTGTCATCATATAATTAATAGATGCATATGTCTCTCTGTATGTATCTGTGGATTAGTGCCTTGCCTGTCTGTGTATGTGGGTTGGTACCTTGCCTGTCTGTGTATGTGGGTTGGTACCTTGCCTGTCTGTGTATGTGGGTTGGTACCTTGCCTGTCTGTGTATGTGGGTTGGTACCTTGCCTGTCTGTGTATGTGGGTTGGTACCTTGCCTGTCTGTGTATGTGGGTTGGTACCTTGCCTGTCTGTGTACCTTGCCTGTCCTTGCTGTGTGTGTGTGGTTACCTTGCCTGTCTGTGTATGTGGGTTGGTACCTTGCCTGTCTGTGTATGTGGGTTGGTACCTTGCCTGTCTGTGTATGTGGGTTGGTACCTTGCCTGTCTGTGTATGTGGGTTGGTACCTTGCCTGTCTGTGTCTAGGAATGGAACTATGCGCATCCCTTACCCCCCTCCCCACCCTAGCCACAAGTACGACTGATTAGACACTACCTACAGGTGGCTCTCAATCAGGTTTGCCTAAAGAGCATATTTTTACTTGGACTGTAACGAAGCGAGGTGGTGACAGGTGTTGATCTAGTGTTCAGGTGTTGATTTAGTGTACAGGTGTTGATCTAGTGTTCAGGTGTTGATTTAGTGTACAGGTGTTGATCTAGTGTACAGGTGTTGATCTAGTGTACAGGTGTTGCATGTGTGTATAAATGGTAACACTTATGTTGACTGGTATTACATTAACTGGTATTATATTAACTGGTATTATATTACTGGTATTATATTAACTGGTATTATATTACTGGTATTGTATTACTGGTATTACGGATATAAATGGTATTATATGAGTGTATGTTGTGGTCTTCAGCCTCTCCTGAAATAAATACAGTATTCCTCTCTCCTTCCTCTTCCCCCCTCTCTCCTTCCTCTTCCCCTCTCTCCTCTTCCCCTCTCTCCTTCCTCTTCCCCCTCTCCTTCCTCTTACCCCTCTCTCCTTCCTCTTCCCCCCCTCTCTTTCCTCTTCCCCTCTCCTTCCTCTTCCCCTCTCCTTCCTCTTCCCCCTCTCCTTCCTCTTCCCCCTCTCCTTCCTCTTCCCCCCTTCTCCTCTATCTCTTCCCCTTCTCCCTCCTGTTGTCTGTATGGCCGTAGTGTCATTATTAACACATCCCCTCATTTGGTTATGGCCGTAGTTCTACTATTAATATATCTCATTTTAGGACCGTAGTTTCATTATTAATTTATTACCTTTATGGCCGTAGTTTAAACATATCATTATGTAATCCGTATGGTCGCAGTTTCTTTCATTTCAATAACATAACATTGACTTCTTGTTCTCCTCGTCTCCCAACAGGTGTGAGGAACATGGCCAGTGTAAGAACGGCACCTGTATCTGCATGACTGGATGGAACGGCCGTCACTGTACCCTGGCCGGCTGTCTCAATGACTGCTCGGGTAACGGAGCCTGCCGTATGGAGAATGAAGAATGGGTCTGTCGGTGTGAGACTGGCTGGGAAGGAAACGACTGTTCCGTCATGTTGGAGAACAACTGCGACGATAACAAGGATAATGATGATGGTTAGATTAATTAATATAAGAATTACCTGATAGTTAACCTCACCTTTACCTTAATTCACCTGAGGATTAAACACCTTTACTCTACCTGTGTGATTAATTATAAGGTGAAATAATCTACAGGTGATATTCAAGTCATTCTTTGACCTATACACAATTATAGTCTTGACGACCACAGCCGTTGTTATACATGTGAAGTGTTGTTTCAAGTAAAGATAACAAATTCTTTATTATATCAAAGTGTACATGTAACATATCAGTATACACGTAATATATAGAAGTGTACAATTAATATGTTAAATGTACAAGTAATATGTTAAGTGTACATAGGTCATCAGAGTGAAGCTGGCTGGCAGGTACAATGAATACTGTTTGTGTTGATACAGATGGACTGGTGGACTGTGCTGACGCCGAGTGCTGCTCACAACCCACCTGCGACGGCTCTCCTCTCTGCCTCACCTCTCACAACCCCATCGATATTCTCCTGAGGAAGCAGCCACCCGCCGTCACCGCCTCCTTCTTCCAGCGGATGAGGTTCATAGTTGAAGAAGGATCCGTCCAGAACTATGCTGGCGGTTCTGCCTTCAATGGCAGGTGAGAGGTGTGGTGATGGGTGGTGGTGACTGAGGTGATGGGTGGTGTGTGTGGCGACTGGTGGTAGTGGGTGGTGTGTGTGTGTTGACTGGTAATGGGTAGTGTGTGGTGACTGAAGGATTGTGGCGACTGGTGAAGGATTGTGTTGACTGGTGAAGAATTGTGATGACTGGTGAAGAATTGTGGTGACTGATGAAGGATTGTGGTGACTGGTGAAAAATTGTGATGTCTGATGAAGAATTGTGATGACTGATGAAGAATTGTGATGACTGATGAAGGATTGTGGTGACTGGTGAAAAATTGTGATGTCTGATGAAGAATTGTGATGACTGATGAAGAATTGTGATGACTGATGAAGGATTGTGGTGACTGGTGAAGAATTGTGATGACTGGTGAAAAATTGTGGTGAATGATGAAGAATTGTGGTGACTGATGAAAAATTGTGATGACTGTGAAGGATTGTGGTGACTGGTGAAGAATTGTGATGACTGGTGAAGAATTGTGGTGAATGATGAAGAATTGTGGTGACTGATGAAAAATTGTGATGACTGGTGAAAAATTGTGATGTCTGATCAAGAATTGTGATGACTGATGAAGAATTGTGATGACTGATGAAGAATTGTGATGACTAGTGAAGAATTGTGGTGACTGATGAAGGATTGTGGTGACTGTTGAAGAATTGTGATGACTGGTGAAGAATTGTGGTGAATGATGAAGAATTGTGGTGACTGATGAAGAATTGTGATGACTGGTGACAAATTGTGATGACTGGTGAAGAATTGTGATGACTGGTGAAAAATTGTGATGTCTGATCAAGAATTGTGATGACTGATGAAGAATTGTGATGACTGATGAAGAATTGTGATGACTAGTGAAGAATTGTGGTGACTGATGAAGGATTGTGGTGACTGTTGAAGAATTGTGATGACTGGTGAAGAATTGTGGTGAATGATGAAGAATTGTGATGACTGGTGAAGAATTGTGATGTCTGATGAAGGATTGTGGTGACTGATGAAGGATTGACTGGTACAGTATATGACAAGCTAACCTTCACCTACTAAGACTGAAGCACAACCTTAGATACTAACAAAAAAAACACAATTTAAAAAAGTATTAAGCAAACGTCAAGTAACTTGTAAAGTATCTGCGAATCAACCATTTAAGTGTGACGAGTGATTTTATGTTGGAAAAAAATAAATTCAGATGTTTTTTTTTCTCTCCCTCTCCACTTTTCCTCAATTTTGGGTAGAAAGGCAGAATTTTTTTTCTTTCTTTTGTTTTTTTGCTTCGTCAGATGGACGTGGCATGTGACCTGCCCTAGTGTGTGTCGGTACTGCCTCTGCTAAGTACTGTACTGTATGTTGTAGTAGTGTAAAATTATTGTTCATTATTTTCCTGTATTGTGTTTTAATTTCGCAAACACTTCTTGGTTCCCCCACTCACAAGAAACCTTTATCGTGTATGTATGTAGTATATATATATATATATATATATATGTATGTGTGTACGTACGTGTGTTTGAACTGATCATACTGAAAACCATAACATCACCTCATTGGACGATTGTACAGTATATAAACGCTGTGGGCTGTTTAGTCGATGTTAGTTAGAAATATACTGAATGTTTACCTGCTTATTATTATTATTATTATTAACAACAGAGCAAAAATAAATCAATAATCTTATTTATTCCCTCAGGTTGTTTATTAATGGATTTACTTTCAGGTTCCATTTATTTTATTTCTACATCGTTATTATTTTATTCCGAGAAAACTTAAATAGTTCAGTACGTAGAGCTTACATTGTGATGTAGCTGAGCAGAAGTGTTTGTTGCTGTGGTGTTGGTGGTGAAGGAGGGGCTCTTGATGACTAGTTTTCGTGATTTAGAAATTGCTGGTTTTTTTTTATTTTGGATACTGTTGTTGTTGTTGTGTGGTGTGTACAGTAGTGCATGATGACTAACTCTTCACTAGCCCCCCCCCCCCTTATGGCATTAGCTCCTATGTCACAAGCCCCATATCACTAGCCCCTGTGGCATTAGCCCCCATGTCAATAGTCCCCCATGTCACTATCCCCATGATCCCCATGTCACTAGCCCACATATCATTAGCTTCCATCTCCCTAGCCCCCTATGGTACTAGCTCCCATTTCGCTAGCCCTCTCCTCCCTACCACTCCCTTTCCCACTTTCCTCCTCACCACCACCCTCTCCCCTCCCTCCCAACCTCTTTCCCTTTCCTCCTCTTCACCACACCCCCTCCTCCCCTCCCCGCCATACAAACCTTAATTACACCAACACTCCAACACCAAACTCTACTTCCCTCGTATCCGACTTAATCTGCTCTAGCACCCCGCTAATCGCTCCTACTCTCCTCTCACTCGGGCCAACACAGTGTTAACCCAGGCGAGTGGATGAGGTCGGGTGTCTTGGGACTGGAGCACAGGAGGTTAATCCCTAAAGGAACTGGGATAGGATTCTCAGATTTCGTATGCGTTAATTTTTCCCGGGTTCTAACAGAGGATATGGGAAGGCGTCCAGTTAAAGTCGAGTCTCGGTGCAATTTTGACGCTATTTTGGACACCGGCTTTATGTCTGAGTTTAATTGAGTTGGTTGTGGTGTGGTGTCTCCTGGGGGAAGAATTTGAACCTTACGAGTGAGTTTCTGAGGATCCATCGTTGTGTTGTAGTAATTGCGAGTCAGATCAATGCATTCTTGCGTCTTCATTTAAGCAAGAAACTAAACTCACAAACGAAAGAGAGGACATTTTTGTGCCGTAGCTAAAGGAAACTTATGATATGTGTGAATTTACGAGAATCTATCGTTTTATCGTAGCTTAATGGTTCCAGTTAAAACATTTACAAACCTTTGAGAATCCAACTTTTTCATCATAGCTTAATGGAACTGTAGTTAAAACATTTATGAACCTCTGAGAATTCCATCTTTCTGTAGTAACTTAATTGAACTAGAAAGAAGAGTCGTCTCACCCCCATCAAGGAAGGAAGGTTAAGGTAGACGTTTGAGAATCTGTTAGTCAGGCCCTGTGGTGAGTGACAGGTGGGATGCAGGTGTTGTGTTCCCGCTCTGAAGAATTTATCATTTATTACTTCTAATTCTGTTTCTTATTTTCTTTGTTTTGATGTTTTTTTTCTAGCTCTATTTCTGGTAGGTATTGAATGGTGGTGGTGATTGATAGTGGTTGATTATGTTGTATATGGTAGTGGTTGATGATGGTAGTAGTGATGGTTGACTGTTTTGTTGTAGATGGTGGTGGTTGATTATGTTGTAGATTGTGGTAGTGGTGGTGGCTGATTATATTGTAGATGGTGGTAGTGGTAGGACGTTTGTGATGGTGCTTGTTGTGGTTGGTGGTGATGGTTATAGCTGTTGATTCATGATGGTGGTGGTGGTGGTGGTCTGCCAGGGTGATGGTGTATCGTTGACGGTGGTAGTGGGTGTGGTGGTGATTATGGTGACTGGTGGTGGTGATTGTGGTGACTGGTGGTGATTGTGGTGAAAGTGGTAGTTGTGGATCACCTCACCACCCGGTAATTACCCCGTCCACCACAGCAGACACGGGAAGTCAGGGGACAATAGACCGAGTCGAGGTGTTAATGTCCTGTTTAGATTAAGGAGGTTGTGGGCTTTTCCTTCCTTCCTTCCTTCCTTCCTTCCTTCCTTCTTGTCTTTGTGATGCAAGATACTAAAATGTAATTTTCGTCTGTGTGAAGCAAGAATGAAGTAATTGTCCTTTTCAAACAAGAAACTAAAGCAAGCCACCTTTGTGAAGCAAGAGGCTGAATTAATTCTCTTTGTGAAAGCGAGAGGATGAAGTAATTCTCATCCTGAAGCAAGAGTGCAGTCATTCTCATCTCTGTGAAGCAAGAGGGGTGTAGGAGGAAGCTTTTAGGTAGTGGCAGGGGAAGGTGGATGCTTGGCTGGTTCATGCCCTCCCATAAGTTCATTAAGACTGGGAGGGTCTGTTTAAGGAGGTTAATTAAGGTGCGTTGCGAGGAGAACACCGGCTGCCCTTCAAGCCTTTATTTCGTGGTGCAATGGAGCACCATCCAGCCCACCCCTCTCCATCCCGCACACCCCACTTCACCCCGCCCACCCCACTTCACCCCGCCCACCCCACTTCACCCACCCATTGATGTGACACCACCACCTGGAAATGTCTCTCTCGCCTCCCACCAGTTAACATCTGCACTGAGGAAGACCAGACTACATGGCGGTATATGCTGGAGTCGTAGAGATGATAAAGTTGATTTTCTTTCCATATTAAACCATCAATATGGCTCTTTGTCTGGGGTTCATCAGAGGGCCATTTTGACTGCTATTTCTATTATGTGGCTTAAATTACCCAGTTAATGTGTTTGACAAACTTTTTGTGAGGGAGACATAGGTATTAACTTGAAAATAAATAAGGTTTCCATCTCTAGATCATAACTTAAGGGTGCCATTTATATTGATTTTAACATCTTGATTTAATGTGTAAAAATGATCAACATAGGAGTCTTCGAAAGTTGAGGATCTGTTGAACTAACCTAAGGTAATGGTCCTCTTCCATAGAAGAAGCTGGAGAGAGAGGGAATCTTTTGTCTACCTCTTCCCCTTGTCTCCTAGCAACCCCACCTATCCCTCCCCCTTGTCTCCCTTGCACCCATACACTCCATGCCCCCTACCCCTCTTACCTGCCTCCTCCCCTTGCAGTGAGAGTTGAGTTACTGTAGCGGAAGTTTAATATAACGTCAAGAGTTAGTAATTAGGCTAATTGTGATATTCATTTTGCAAATGAGGTTAAGTTTGGTTTCATCAACTCCTTCAAGTGGAGGGGGGGTGAGGCAGGTGTTACATGAGTCAGGTATGGGTGTTCATTGCTAGTTATGGGGAGGGGGTTGTTATATACTACAATACTACATGTTGTCTTGTGAGGTAAAGTGGCCTTATAAAGATTCTTTTTTAATGGTTTATTTAATTTATGACCAAAGTGACTTGTATAATGTGTGCTTCTTTGATTGTGATCGTTCGTGTGTTAAGCCTTTGGTGTCAGTCAATCATATTAAACCTGGTACAGTATGTGTTACTCCAGCACAAGCATATAGGAACTGGTTGTTGTTTTGTCACTGGTGTTATATTATACTCCAGTGTTGCTCTTGTGCAGTACTTGTCTGCTCAGGTTTCGGGAAGCTGAGATCAAGTACATACAGTTGTGTATTTTAGTCGAATTCCGGTCATTTCTTTAACATGTGATGGAATGGTTGAAGATCTTGTCGACATTTTAGTATAAATAAGTTACTTCAATTAGTTTCTTTGTGTGGTTGAGATACCTAATGTAAGATATAGTCATGGTGTTGTATACAGTACATCATGAATCCCAGTAAAGTACACAATAATGTTTGTTTATCTTCTCTAATCCATCTTCAGCTATTGTTTAAGAAGTTCAGTGAATTCCTTTTTGTTTTTGGTCTTTCTCGCACACATTTCAGCTTTTGAAAGACTGTAGAGATGATGGGAAGTAACGGGGAGGTGCCATACCCTGGTGTAGGGGTGAGCGGTGCTGAGAGTTCCCCATTCACATGCAAATCCTTTAACGAGGTCCACTATTTGTTGGATTTTTTCTCGCCTAACTTTGCCTCTTGTTTTTCCTGCTTGGCTCCACCAGAACTTCGCCTGCCAGAAATATCAGATGGCCTCTTTTTGGTTTGAGTGTTGATATTGGGTATATTTTTTAGTGTTTGCTTCTGAAAATGGAAATTTGGTCAGTTTAGTAAACAGAAGTTATACTGTACTGAAAAGAATAACTTAAATATGAATTGTCTTTACCATTTTATTTAATTTGAAGAGAAATATGAAATCACCTCAAGATTAGAAGCCACAGCTTATTTCACCTGAAGATTAGACACTCCAGCTTATTTCACCTGAAGATTAGACACCCCAGCTTATTTCACCTGAAGATTAACCATCCTAATGCAAACCGAACCTGATGTAAGACTAAACTAATCTAATGCCAACCTACCCTTTTTTTTTACGGGGATTACCCCACCTGGGCTCAGGTCACTGACCCACGTCAGGGCCTGGGGGGGGGGGTGAAAATATAATGATAATAGTGATAATAATAATAATAATAAACTTGTGTTATTATTATCATTATAATTATTAATAAAAAATAATAAAAATATATAAATCTTTAAAACAAATATAAATAAAATACTAATGATAATACTAATACTAATAATAATAATCATAATAATAATAATCATAATAATAATAATCATAAAAATAATCATAATAATCATAATCATAATCATAAATGAAAAATGAAAAAATAAAAAATACATCAAGAGTGAGAAACGATATATGTATGTTGTGTTGTGTTGTCTATAGTAAAAGAAACAATTGAGACCCTGCAATTGTGTGTAAATGAGGCAGAAAGTTAGATCATCAACCTGGGACTTGGTCACAGTTTTCGTGATGCCATATGGCAGCAGGGTCTACCATTAGACAGCACATTATGCATCCAATATCTTCCCAGGCGGTAGTACCTCCCTGTTTGGTAGCTGTCTACTACCTACCTAATGCTAACCTAATTTAATGTAAGCTAACCCACCCTAACTCCTCTAGGTAGAAATGGGGTGGTTAATTTTCTGGTAAAATAAGCTGGAGTGTCCAATCAACAGATGGTAAAAAAAAAAAACTACATTGTGTGTACCGGTTCCTTAGATAATGTTGATGTCGGCTCCCTGTATGTTTTCCTTTAGGTCTCTGTATGTTAACCTGATTGTCTCGCCCCCTCCCCCACCAATCATCCTCCGTATACAATGTAATCATACTCCTCACCCTTTCGTCTTGTATGTTATTCAGCCAACATGTTCCCCGTCCCCCACCCTAACTTCCTCATCTCTAACTTCCTCACCAGCCTCCTCTCTAACTTCCTCACCAGCCTCCTCTCTAACTTCCTCACCAGCCTCCTCTCTAACTTCCTCACCAGCCTCCTCTCTAACTTCCTCACCAGCCTCCTCTCTAACTTCCTCACCAGCCTCCTCTCTAACTTCCTCACCAGCCTTTTCTCTAACTTCCTTCCCAGCATCCTTTCTAACTTCCTTCCCAACTTCGTCACCAACCTCCTCCCTCTTCTCCATCCTATCTGACCAGCAGAGGCAGTGTCTTGTTCCATTGATGTAACATATACTATAAGAGGCACTTGTTTACTATTCCCACTTCTGTAATGTTGACTGTTAATATGTACTGTGTTCTCTACAGTGTCTGTGTTATCCTTGTATCAGTCAGTTGTTTGTAATATTGTCTATGTTTGATTCAGTGTTTTTGTTACAAGTGCTGTATTGTTGTAATCTGTTGGTAAATGTGGGTGTTTGTCACTGTGCTTCCTAGTGATGTTTGCTTCTACTGGTAATACTGTACAAGTTATACATATACTGTGCCTGTGCAGTACATCTAAACAAATATGCATACTGTATTTGTACATATTTGTCTTCTTATATGTACACAAATGTATGTATCACACGTACTCTTAAATACAACTGTGTTCACACACACACATGCACGCACACCCACACATACACACTCATGTGTGCACACCCTCACTGCATGCACACCCTTGCACATATACAGACAAAAACACACTCACACAAAATCCTCGCACGTATACACACATACAGGTAATGTATACATAGTATGTGTATACATAGTATGTCATTAAGCTGCGTCTGGCTGTTGGTGGTTTATACCTCTCATTATTAAATCCCTGGCATGAAATACTTACATACCGTCTTTCCATTTATAATCGTATATGTCTATTAGTCTCTATCTGGCATTTAAACCGCTCCTCTCTATTTAAATTATTTTAATTTTATTTTTTAACTTTTCTCCATAATCAAGCCTGAATTTCAGTGGAGCCTTTTTGTCGTACAAGTTTTAAATCTTAGTTTAGTGATCAATCCTTTTATCTTTTGGGGTATTATCTAAACTTATTTAAACATTTGTGGTTTTTTTAATATAAAATTGATTGAGTTCAGTCTATTCAAGAGTTTCGTGGTTTGGCGATTACATTAAAATAAGGCACAGACATGAGAATTCCAAGTGATTTTAAAGAAAGAATTGTTCATATCTTTTTCTGCAGCAGAAGATTTAATACATTGTAATTCTAAGCAGTTTACGTCCTCTACATCATCAAATTTGTGCGTACAAGTACATAAATTTTTTAGCAACAAGTACAGTACAGTAATTGGATAGACTACTGGATGAGGCTAGTATTCCAGTATGCTGCTTACTGACTGCCTCTGACTTAACTAATACAGATGGTCTATTTTCCTTCAGCATGCACAGGATTTTCATAAATGAGAGGTGAGTGTTCCTGTGCATGAAGTAGACTGACTATGGTGATGTGCACTGCCCGCCTGCTTCCTTATAATTTATTGTATTGTAGTCTATGTGCTTCTTTATCTTTTATATTTTGTAGTGGAATGGTATTAACTATGAATGCACTCCCCATATTTTTATTTTATTTGTTATTGAATTTTTTTTTACATTTTGCTAATGTGTTTTGGTTTTGTTTTGCCTTGAATTTTTTTTTTATAAGGAGTTGTAACAAGAGAGACAGTATGGTGTCTAAGTGCATTTGTCACACAGGCACGTAAATGTCCAAACGAGTATTAAACGGCATTTATTAAAAAAAGTCACAACAGGCGACATTACAAGTATCCTTACACAGCATTACCCTTGACTGGCCCCGGTGGAGCCTCTTGAACTACACTGTACTGATATACTGTTACTGTACTGTACCTCCATGTCAATATTTTCTTAACCTCTGTTGTTATTATTCCTTTTAGAGTTTGGAAGTAATATTTTTTATGGCATTTGTAAGTACTGTAGGATTTTTTTCATGTTTCTGCTTTGGGTTTTTGCTTGATACTTTAACTTTTTTTTTTTATTATTATTATATCTAGTTGGTTTTTTTTGTGGCTATATATGGCATTTTGTGTGGATCTGTTTTCTTTTTAAAGTTTTCTAATTGTTCACATCCTGGTTTAAGTAGACAATGTTTAACTCCATAAATTTTGCACCTGACTTTTAAGGTTATGGGTCATTAAGGCAGAATCTTCCCCAGTGGTTTGTTTGAAATGCAATTAGTATGTAGAGTTCTTTTGTATAATTACCTTTAAGAATTGTTTAACTTGATGGTTGGATATACTGTACATGCATCATACATTTCAAGCTGTAATTGATTCCCAGTATAAATTTGTGTCCTTGAATCCTTATATTCATTAGAGTTAAAAACTGTATATACCTGGTGTATATTGTACGACATTCCTAAGAAACTGAATATACTTTTCAATTGTTTTTATGTTCCTACAAATAACTGTAAGACATTGGACCAACAGCCGTGCCTCAGTTGTTCGTGGACGTGTCATCAGTGGACGAGGAACTGGCTTGCTAGGCGTTCGAGTCTCGCACTACCGGCCAGCAGACACGGGCTTCACACTTACACGTCCTGGGGGATGGTTTGATCTCATGGTCAATGGAGGAGGTGCTGTGAGATTGCTCTTTGGCAAGTCACCATTTTTACCTGTCACCGAGACCGTCTGGGTACCTTGGAATGAGGTTCGTTATTCATGATTGTGTCAATATTGTATTGTACCTTTCTCAGTTATTCCAATTGTTAATATAAGTTTTGTTCGTGAATTTTCTCAAATACATAATAATGGCCTTCATATAGCAAATTGTGTTGTTGAATTATCTACAAATATTTGTTGGAAAGTTTTCAATACAGTACGTATTACTTAGTCACTTTAAACACTTTTTAAGATGAATATAATGGAATTCTGTGTTATTTTGCACAATGAACCCAAGTATAAGTTTAGATAAGCATGTCTTGTTCACAGCACATTCATATAAAATGGCAATTGAGAAGGCACAGTTAAATTGTTTTTTCGTGCATTATAGTGTACACCATTGGGTGATCTCTGATTATTTTCACACCGTGAGAGATTCATAATTTTTTACTCCTCAGATTGTTGTTACAAACACGATTGTCATGACAATGGCGGATATTGTACCACCCCCGCTACCAACACCCTGTCCAGACCACAACTACGATGCTCTCAAGCCTGTTGTTCTCGCCACATGGAAACACGGTTTCCAGGGAGGCTGCCCTGAATGTTCAGCCATCTTGACAGAGTCTCAAGTGGTGCAAGAGAGTCTTGACATCCCTGGCACTGGACTCCACCTGGTGTATCATTCTTCCAGGTCTGTGTCAAATATTACTTGTAGAATTATTGTACTTTAAATAATTAAAAGATAGAGGAAGTAAAAAGTGGTGAGGTTTAAAGGATGGAATAAGTTTTACAAATACAGTAAGTACAGTACAGTACGGTACACCACCGATTTTCCGGCACCTTTGGTTCCTGAGCCTTGCCGGACCATCCGTTTTGCCGGATTAATAGAGGTCATATATAATAATTAAGCAATACACCTCTGACCCACTAGCTATACACCTCCTGGTATATTTAAAGCACCATGGCTGCTAGAAACTTAAATTAAACAAACATGTTCAGTACTCTTACTGTCTCTCAATGTTTTTCTAATGCACATTTGCTTCTTGGAATCACTTTCTGCATAGAATCTCACTACTTTTTCTCTTTGCTTCTTTATATCATACACAGTTAACGATCCAATAGCATACAGACCATACACCTGTCACACCGAAACACCACATTCAAGTTTTCTCAAGAGTTCCACCTTATCTTGTATCGATATGGACTGGTGTTTATGCTTTATACCACCACTGACACTTGTACTTGCTTTTGAAGCCATAGCTGGGATTAAATACAGTATATCCAGTAAACTAATCTGGAGGTCGTGGGATTTTTGTCCGGATTAAAAGAGGTGCCGGACCATCCATTGCCAGAAAATCGGTGGTGTACCTGTAGTCCACTGTCTTGGAGAATTGATGGCAGTGATTATGCTTTCTCCTTGTACTCTTTGTCCAGCTTTGAATTAGAAGTTCTTGATCATTAAGTCTCTGTATAAGTATGAATTTGTTTATTAGTAATAGTGTACAGGTATTCTAATAGATACAGGTTGACAACCCTTTATCCGAAAACCGAAAAGCTCTAAAAACCGAAAGTTTTTTGTCTTTTTTTTTTTACAGGGATTATTAGCCCACCCAGCCACAAATCACTGACCCACATCGGGGCCTGGGGGAGCAAAAATGTAATAGTAATAATAATTATAATAATAATAATTATCCATAGTAAATAAAAATTTTAATAAAAATACACCAAAATAAAATAATAATGATTGCAATAATAATAATAATAAAAATAATAATAATAATAATAATAATAATAATAATAATACAAAAATATAATAATAATAATAATAATAATAATAATAACAATAACAATAATACTGTACTGTAATAATAAAATAATAATACAGTAAAGAAACACGACCTAGACCTATGAATTATTATTATTATTATTATTATTATTATAATTTGTATTATATTTTCGACCCCCAGGCCCCAACGTGGGTCAGTGATCTATGCCTGGGTGGGCTAATACACATTAAAAAAAAAAAAAAAAAAATACCTAACCATTCTGAAAACCGAAAAATTCCGAAAACCGAAATGCCTCTGGCCCCAAGGATTTCGGATAAAAGATTGTCAACCTGTATATACTGTACAAATGTCCCTGGAGAGTGATTCATAAACTTTTGTATTATTGAAGAACATTTCAATTTAGTTTGAAGGCACTATAGTACACCTTCCTTTCTAAAATTATTAAATTATAATTATCAGTTTTTATTCACTGATTTCAGGGGTTCTCAAACATCTCGTAACCAAGTACAGTACCCCGAGTTATCAGACCATCGACCCATACCCCTATTACTGAGACACTGAATATAGAATGGTACTACATTAACACTAATTCAGTATAGAATGGCAGTGTTAAAACTTATTTGTTGTTTGTAGAGAAGCTACTTTCCATATTGTAAATATAACATTAAATTTATATCACCTAATGAATTAAATTTGATGAAATTAGTATATTCTATATTGATTTTTGCCAGCCCTCCGTGTACCCCCTGGAAACCCTGGTGTGTACCCCTGGTGGTTTGTGAACCCCAGTGTGAGAACCCTTGATATGTATACTGTAATAGTAGGATTTATTCTCTAATGATTGTGAACTGGAGGTGATGCCATGTATGTATTGTATGTCAAGTGTTTATCATTCCACCAGGGCCCTGGGGTATGAATCCACCATCCAACTGCAGCTAACACCCTCCGTCATCCCCGAGACCCTGCGCAGGATACATCTCAGGATCACCATCGAAGGAATCCTCTTTGAAAAAACTTTTGAAGCCGACCCAGATATAAAGTTTACTTATGCATGGAACCGTCTCAATGTGTACAGGTAAGACTCCTTAAATGGTGTTGGATAGCAGTTTTTTTTAATTAGTATTAAAGATATCTTTGCTTAGGAGACCCAGGCATCAGGTTCACTTTCATCTTTCAGATTTTATAAAAACTACAAACTCCCAAGCATTACTAATTTTTCATTTTTCCTTTGCAGACAGCGTGTATATGGTGTCACATGGGCCGTTGTGAAGGTCGGGTTCGCATACAGTAATTGTGATCAAATAATATGGGATGCACAAACCACCCAAGTGTCTGGACATGACATGAGCATCTCCTATATTGGTAGCTGGGACCTCTCTATACACCACAGATACAATTTCCATGAAGGCGAGTTACTCTGTATTATTCAACATTTTGCATATGAAATTGAGTGTTTCTGTACCTGATATACTCTTGAGAGATAATTTAAGATTGTTTTTGCTTCTATCCACAAGGCATCATGTAAATGTCCAGACATAGAATCACAAAATTTATGCCATAAATTATCAAAAATTACTAAAAGTAAAGAAATAAATATTTATAAATTGCTTAACTGATTATAATACATTGCATAATATTTCACATAAAAATAAACCTATTAGTACATTGTACAGTTTATAATCCATTCACAACCTGTAAGTTAACCTACCTTTGTTCTTGGTAAGCTTGCACTTTGATCATGTTTAGTTTCATAAACTTTATACTTTTTACAGTTTACCACACCTGTTTTATTTATTTATATAGGGTGCAGTATTTTTTACCCCTGTTTACAGTACTGCATCAGAATCCCACATTTCTTACATTAAAGTACTGTGCATTCAATTACATGCAGTACCATTAATTTTCTTCAAACATGTCTGCTATAGATAGCTGTCACACCTTTAATTAGTGAGGATGCATTAGTTTTACTGTACTGTACCTGAAATATTTACTGAAAAATCCTGTGTATTGGTTATGCTAGATTGTTAGGAATATTAATGGAAATTGTGTAAAAATATAGTGTGCTATTAGTTACAGATTATAGCAGCCCTCATTAATAATTGTTCCAGTAATAAATGTCGTATTTCTGTTTAGGTACGATCTCTTACAATTAAATGAATTTTATGTTGCCATTTATTTATCCACTTATTTGTTATCCTTTTATTTCTCTCAATCAGGCATTCTACAAAAGGGTGATGGCCGTAATATGCATCTGAAGCAGAAGCCACGAGTCTTGCAAACATTAATGGGAGACGGTCATCAAAGAGAAGTGTCGTGCAGATCTTGTGATGGTCCTGCAGACAAGCAACGCCTTCTGACTCCAGCAGCTCTGGCCTCGGGTCCTGATGGATCACTCTACATCGCAGACTTTAACTTGATTAGACGTGTTTTGCCAGATAACACAGTGAAGACTATGGTTAGGCTGAAGTAAGTAACTGTACTGTATAACGGTATTCTGTTCGAGAAATGTTCATTGTATTAACCCCTTGTGTCTGGGGTTTATACTCTGAGGTGAATAAACTCATCTTGCATTACCCAAATAAAATAGTAAAAGTGGCATCCCCATTCATGAAAGGATTAATAGAAATAGTCTGCTAACCTCTTGTTTTCAGTGTCCCCTCTGAGCTGAATAAAATATTAAACACACACACACATACATTTAGACCATCTTCAGACTATATTGATGATTGTCTGATAAATACGTTCGGATTGAATTAACACTGGAATAACACCACCAGATAGAATGTAATGTAAGCTCAGTAGACAGGTGCAGTGTTTCAGAATTTGTTGAGATACAGAAAGTCTAGCAGGACACAATCAAATAGAATTTTTGTACTGAAATAATATACAGTGATGGACATTTACCGTATATACTCGTCTATAATCCCCCCTCGTTTATAGGTCGACCCTGATTTTTTTACCAAGAAATCGTTAATTTATGATATAACCTTGTTTATAAGTCGACCCAAGTTTTTGAGGGTAATGGAACAACAAAACCTTCAGTAAAAACGCTCTACGTCTTATAAACTGAGGCTCACCGTGCCTGAAACACCGAGTGCCGAAGGCAAATTGTTTACCATTTATTATTACAACACTTTACACTGAAATGTGGGTAGTTTAAAAAAAAATATTGTATATCTCCATTCAAATATTTATTCAAGTCAATTAGGAGGGAATATTATTGTAATACAACAGTTTTTTAACTGAAAACCATTCGAAAAGCGATTACGTTAACATCTTTTGAACTAAAGAAAGCGAAAGTCATTGTTTTCGTCACGATTTTATCCCACTTTCCACTGTAATACGTACGTCATTTCAGCAAAAATATTACATTTCCGTGAATGTATTATATCAAGCACAGTATGAATAGAATAGCATTGTAATATAACAATATTTTAACCAAAAACTATTAAAAAAACGAGTAACATCTCAAGAACATCAGAAGCTTAGGTAAAGTCTTTTGTTTTCGCCATGTATTTTATCCTATTTTACATTGAAATACATCACGTTTCAGCCAAACTACTATTTATTTCCGAGAATATATTCATTCAGGCACAGTTTAGGTAAAATATACATGTGATGTAACAGTTTTTTAACTGAAGACGATTCGAAAAACACGTACCCTCTAGCCCTGTTCAAGGAGAAGACTGGGAGGAGCTGTTTGGTGCTTAAGACGATGACAAGGAAAATTATTTTGATGGATTTTAATGAAAATATTCAGAAATATGGTATCATAGTATTTATTCAAGTCAATTAGGATAGAATATTATTGTAATACAACAGTTTTTTAACTGAAAACCATTCGAAAAGCGATTACGGTAACATCTTTTGAACGAAAGAAAGCGAAAGTCATTGTTTTCATCACGATTTTATCCCACTTTCCAAAGTAATACGTACGTCATTTCAGCAAAAATATTACATTTCCGTGAATGCATTACAGTGAGTTCTGCTATAACGCGTGTTTTGATAACGCGAATTTGCTCTAACGCGATTTATGAATTCGGAACAATATTTGTATAACGCGAACGCTTGTTTGCTATAACGCGATTTTTGCTTACTATTTCTCCAATTTTGTGGTATTAACTGTGAATATGGTAAAGAAGAATATCTCCAAAAAGCGTTCTGATGATAGAATTCCCGGTGATTATCGTAAAAGAAAGGATATAACACTTGAAGAGAAGCTCGATGTTATCAACCTCAAAATCACCCTTCTCCCCCATCAAGTTACATTCATATTTTTTCAAGGTAAAGTGTTAAATTTACTGTATGATTTCATTATTAGATATGAATGTAACATTTATTTAGACTGTGCTATCCTTTGTGTTAGGCTAACTACTAAATTTTTTCGATTTCGAGTAATCTGCACCTAACCCTATTTTCTCCATAAGCCCTGTTATTTCTATTACGCGATTTTCTATAACACGATATTTTACAAGAACACAATTATCGCGTTATAGCAGAACTACCTGTATATCATATCATTGTAATATAACAGTATTTTAACCGAAAACTTTTGAAAAAAAAAGAGTAACTTTTCTTGAACATCGGAAGGTTAGGTAAAATCTTTTGTTTTCGTCATGTATTTTATCCTATTTTACATTAAAATACATCACGTTTCAGCCAAACTACTATTTATTTCCGAGAATATATTCATTCAGGCACAGTTAAGGTAAAATATACATGTGATGTAATAGTTTTTTAACTGAAAACGATTCGAAAAACACGTGTACCGTCTAGCTGATAACGCAACAGCTGGTGGTGCATCATGCATCGTTGTAAACAATAGGAGGTTGCGGTGGATTACCGGGTATTATGTTAAGTGTGAAATATCGAAAAGGTTTTTGTTACTGGTATTTTTTGTAGATCAAGGAGTACTGCGATACCGTATATGATATGATAAGTTAGCCTGTGCTAAGAACTTCAACATAGACTACTGAAAGCACGTTGTAAGGTAATTTAGCCTATTGTAAGTTGGTGAGCTTCATCTGCTGAAGGAACTGCACAACTTTTCATTACGTTTTCATTGTTTACTGGCAGTAAATGGTAAATATTTTTCATGTCTGAAGCTAAAAGTTGCTCCTCGCCCTTCCCATCATGCACGGGTTCAACCTAACAAAACTATTACGCATGTAGAGGTCGACCCCCAATTTTTTGTCTATAAATTTGGTCTTAAAAACTCGAACTACACACGAGTATATACGGTAAGTGAAAATAAAAACTCGCCTTGGTAGATTAATGTAGAACTTATAAATACTCTGACAAAAATAAAGAATAAAAGATGATTACAATGACCTAGGGAGAGTGTTGGTGGCTGTCACTCACTACTATGTTTTATCATTAACTTGCCATTGTAACAAAATATGAAAATAGGTAAGTAAATTTTCATTATTTTCAACTTCTCTTTGGTATTAGATATTACTGTTAGTATAATATGAACTGCAGTCATGATTTTAAACATATTCAGTGAGGGAGCTTTTAATGTTGACTGCTGAAGATAATTAGTTCCATGAAGTAGCAGATTTAGCAGTAACTCTCTGAAGGTGAGATTTAACTTTTTGAAGGAGAGATCTACAATGCTGTCTAATTTAGCACATTATGGCATAGTTAAATATATGATCCATCAGTTTCACTGTACAGTACTTTTGTACACAGTCCATATAGTAACAATAAATGTTTACCAATACAGTACATTAAGATCATAGTAACACTGCTCGGGGTGAACGGTGTTTTAGATAAAAAAATAATTTGTGTACTGAATACTAAAGATAATCATTTCACATTCTTTAACAAGTCTGAGGTTTTACCATACTGGGAGGAAGAGTGTGCTGCTGTGCTAAAATCTTCAGTTTACTGTACAGTAAAACCTGTTTTCATAAAGTGGCTTTGTAGCAAATTCATTCCTTAAAGGATTTTTTTAAAACTGGTGTTGATTAGTGTACCTTTAGAATTATAGTGAAATACATAAATTTGTTAATAACATTAGAAAATATGCGTGCAGAAATGGTGTTTTCTCTTCAGTAACAAATACAGAATATATGCAGTTGTGTAGTTACAAAAATTACTCTACATCGCTTCACAAAAATATTTTGTATTACAGGAATGTACTTAAAGGTAATTTATTGAATAAGATTTTTTTTTAATTACAATTATATATTTTTTACATCAAACATTACATAAAAATTATATTACTTTCTTGTATCGTACATCATTACACAAGCATTTGGTATTCAAGTACACGAGCGGCTGCTGTCTGTTGGGTCACAGGATTTGATGTGGTGTCACAGGCACCAAGTGTTGCCTTCACATTTCTTAACCTGTAACCCACAAACTCTGTGTTCACAAATCACTGCCAAGGTTTTAGCCACAATAGTATTTTAAAACGTTTACAAACAATTCATTTTACAGTAAAAAACCCTGAGCGCTATGAACTCGAGTAAACCAGCAACAACTGTATGTGGTGATAGATAATGAGAGAATGTCGTTATTAAAATTGACTTTAATGCTTTTCCTACAGTACTACATTATTATATCAAACAGAACATTACTAAAACCTAAAGTTTTAAAGATTACTGTACCTAAACAAATTACTAAGAGCCGAATTAAAATTTTACCAGCCAAACACTTTGTAATGTAAAAAACATTTTCGGTAAAATGGTATAATGTAAACATGATATTTTACAGCACAGTACTAGAATTTCCAGTTCCAGATTATAATTCCAATACCCTGTAATCTTTTTAAAATACTTGTCTATATAAAGTTATAATTTAATCAATTTAGCAGATTAATTAACAATTGCACTCTTGTTGTTGCAGTGAGACCAGAGTGTCCTACCGCTACCACCTGGCCGTCAGCCCCGTCACCGGTGATGTTTTCATTAGTGACCACGAGGCCCATCTCATCTTGAAGGTTCGGGACCCAGATGACTTCTCTAGACCCGAGGAAAACTACATGCCTTTTGTGGGGTCCGGAGAGAGGTGTCTACCCGGCGATGAAGTTGGCTGCGGCGATAACTTCCCTGCCCGTGATGCTAAACTCCAGTATCCAAAAGGAATGGCTCTGTCCTTTAACGACGTTCTCTACTTTGCCGACGGTACCAACGTTCGTGCCGTAGACTCTGACGGGATCATTAATACTGTGATTGGCACTCATCGACATCGAGCACACTGGCGGCCGCTACCATGCGAAGGGACCGTTCCCGTGTCTGAAGTCAGTTTACGTTGGCCCACTGCCTTAGCGGTCAGCCCATTAGACGATTCTCTATATGTATTGGACGATCATCACGTGCTACGGCTAACTCACGATGGGCAGGTGAAAGTGGTGGCCGGCAGACCTCTCCACTGTCCTCCCCTGGGCCACGATGTACCTTCTGATCTTGCAGCTCACACCACTCTACGTTCTCCTCAGAGTCTTACTTTTGCTCCTAATGGAGACCTGTACATTGCAGAGAGTGACAACGAACGCATCAACCGTGTCCGTGTAATTGAAACAGACGAACGGATTCACGACTTTGCCGGTGCCGATTCAAAATGTAATTGTCAAGAGGAAAGTTGTCTTTGTTTTGATGCATCTCATGTATTGGCTGCTACAGCTGTGTTCTCGACCATTTCGGCACTTGCGGTGACCCCGGACGGCACCGTGCACGTGTTGGATCAAGGAAATCTACGAATTCGTTCTGTGACCTCCTCTATCCCAGAGCCAAATGCACAGCGTCAATATGAGATTTACTCTCCAGAAACACAGGAGGTATACATCTTCAACAGATTTGGTCATCACGAAGAGACCCGCAGCATTCCCACGGGACGCACCATCTACGTATTTGCTTACACTGTTAATACCAGCAATGGTAAATTGTCCACTGTCAACGATGCCAGTGGAAACCGCTTGTCTTTCCTCCGTGACTACACCGGAGGAGTGACCATGATAGAAAACTCGCGCCAGCAGAAATGTCGGCTGCACATGACAAGACAACGCCACTTAGAGAGGTTAGTGACACCCGATAAACATAATGTGACCTTGACATATCATGGCGCCACCGGTCTATTACGATCACGGATGGATTCTACGGGTCGCGCTCACGTCTACACTTATGACACCTACGGCCGTCTGACCCGCACAGTTACACCTTCAGGTCAGGTCATAGACCTGGCATTCGACTTGAGTCAAAAAGGCGCTCGAGTGACTGTGACTCACGATGGGTCTGCACCAGTCACCATGCTCATCAAGGGAGCACTTGTGACACAGACCATTGGTAAGTCTGTCTGTCATTTGCTTATTGAATGGTCCTATACAGTACAGAGTGTATTTATGATCTTTACCGTATGTGTTATTTTTACCCCGAGACAGACGCTTAAAAAAATAATCTTTACAGATAATTTAGTCGTAGTGAATTATCCATCGGGTATTCCTTATTTTTAGTTGTTTTTCAAATTAATCCCTCAGGTTCAGCCTCAAGAGTTACTGCCCAGCTTCCCGATGGATCGGTCGTGACACGCACACCCTGGGGTCATCACATTGCCACAGAGACAGTCCCATACACACTCCTACAAGATCACACCCTCTCCCACTTGTTCCCCGTGTCTGGCAGGCAGCGTACAGAAATAGGAGACGAGCTTGTCAATAGCTTTGATTGGAAATACTTTGTGGAAACTGGTGATCAAAATGGACCAGTGACACAGGTTGGTGTTTCTTATTTTAGTGAAAAGAAAATATGAATCCATAATTTCTAGCACGTAAAGTATTGATCACTGCATTGTAAATTATGTAGACAATTAATAGCAAATACTATTAAGTGCATCATCTTGGGATATTTCTGACTAAGGATATCAGATGGCTGCATATTCATCATCTATTTAAACATGTATTGAAAAGTAATATGATAATCACATAGGTTTGTTTGACCATGGAAATATTGAGAGGTAAATGGTAACCTTTACTCTCATTATTGATGATTTTCTTCAGCCATATTCACTATGCATCATTCACTGTGCTGGTTCGTCAGGTTTCATTGTATTTTGGCCAAAGCTGGGACGATACTTTACTCTCTGACTGTACATAGTTTTATTTTCAGCCCATTCCTGTTCACATTCTTATTTCTACTCATTCTTCCACAATCAATATACAACTTACTTGCCTCTATCACCTTAACTTTTTACCCCTTTTGCTTATGCTCTTAATTTTAACAATTATGTCCCTACTTCCACTTGCTACAACTTATATTTACCAGTACTTATACAAATATATTTATGCACTTTTTGTATCGATTGTACAGGTGGGCAGGAAGATGAGAGTGAATGGTGAAGACTTGTTGACCTTTAAGTATGATCTCTACACTGGAACTGAGGCTGTTCTGAATGAAGTGGGTGCCACTCTTCTCAACGTATCATATGATCCTCTCGGACGACCTCAGCGCTGGACCCCTGCTCAACCTTTCCTGCCCGTAGAAATGGAATACAATAGGTTTGGTCAGCTTAATCATTGGTCATGGGGCGACATGAAAGAAAAATATTCCTATGACCGCACTGGAAGATTTGAGGGAGTAACTTATGCAGATGGCTCCAAGGTCATGTACTCCTTCAAGGATATATCTAGTGGCAAGGTATGTGTTGCATTTTTAAATGGGTTTCAATATACCTTTAGTGCCAATATATGATGAATACTGTACATTATATGAGTGTACCCTTTGGTGGACTATTTATCTTGTCAAGGGGTGGAGGATGGGATACCCATTACTTGCTAAGTGTAAGACATGAGGAATCGGCTTCTGCCTGGCCACCCTGCATCATGAGAAGAAAAAGATAGCAAGATTAAAGAAATATACATGTAGTACAGGCAGTCCCCGAGATACGGCCGTCCGACTTACCATCACCCGCACTTATGAACGGGATCCTAATATATTCACCAAGATTTTTTTTAATTAAAATCCCATTTTTTACATTATTTTCATCACTATATAGTACTGTATATTGTTTAACATCTCTTTATTTACAGTATTTACATTATTTGTTATATATGGGTATATTATTGTTGTTTTGTATGGGCTTTAACCTAACCTAAACTATGGGTCCGAGAACTTATCCCTGTCGTAAGTCGGGGACGACCTGTACATGCATTGATAGTTTATTCACATTTAAGATAATTATTAATTATGTTCCTTTCAGCCATATAAAGTGAGTGTGTCGTCTGGTGCTGAACACCTCCTCGAGCATGATGAGGGTGGAGCCTTATCTGCTGTAACAACTCCACGAGGCCACAAGTATGCCTTCCACGTCCAGCCGTCACTTCTGCACAATCGTTTCACCTTTACACCACCCGGATCACCTCGTCATCCATACCAGCTATTCTACAGCGACGATGGTCGAAAACTAGCAGAAATATTACCTCATCAAGCTAACCGTGTTATTTACCACTACGACGAAAGCGGACGCTTGCACTTACAGCTTTTCGGCGATGGATCGGTCGAATATGGATATCACGTAGAAACTGGACTTTTGCGAACGGTGTGTGTCAGAGAAAGAGGATTTGAGCTGCGCAGTGACAATAAATATCACGCAGGACTGGTCAAGGATCAGCGAGTTAGATTTGGGCCAAATTCTGGTTTAGATTCTGCAAAATTGAGATTCTTATATGATGGAAATGCTCGACCAAGAAGAGTCGAGGTAGAAATCAATGGGAAGGAACAACCAGATTATGATATGAAATATGATGTGATATTAGGTACCTTAGATAGTGTAGGAGACTTGAAAGTGACCTCTTCATATCACAATAAAACAGTCGTCCAAGATGTCCGTAGAACAATGCTACGAGTGACAGGCTACGATCCGCATGGACGTATTGTCGAAGCGGCCTTAACCTTGCGCAGTCGCTTGGTACACCAGAGGAAATATAGCTACGACAGTCGTGGAAGACTTGCAACGATGTCATCTAGGCGAGGACCTGGTTCAACCGAGATCCTCACGAATTATACCTACACAGCTGACGGGTTCTTACAGGCCGTGGACGGAGAAGAGTCCTGGCAGTTCCGTTACGATAAAAATGGAAACATGATTGCCGTCGTCGAGGGCGGGAGAGAAATGACGGCTACATATGACGGGGCAGATAGACTGGTCGGCTGGGGTGATGTCGAACTAAACACCTATTCCCCAGGGGGTACAGTGGTGAGGCAGGGTGAGGTCCATCTTTCATACAGTGCTCGTGGAAATCTGAAGTCTGCGTGGCAACAGGGACAGTACAAAGTCTGGTGCAGACATGACCATCGGGGACGACTCGCAGTGTGGGAAGATGACCATGGCAATGTTACCCAGTTCTTCTATGCAGACTTGCTCCGGCCAAATCTTCCCACCCACATACACTACCCGAAGACAGGCGAAACACATTCCTTAGAATATGACGAGCGAGGTCATCTCATGGCTCTACACACGGGAAGACATCAACTCTGGGTCTCCACAGATCATCTTGGATCACCAGTAGCTGTGTTTGATGACTCAGGAGTTTTGAAAAAAGAAATTGTAAGATCTCCCTGGGGTGCCACTCTCAGTGACTCAAAGCCCGATCTTCTCTTGCACGTGGACTTCCAAGGTGGTCTTCGTGATCCTGTAACAGGGTTCCTGATCTTTGGCCTACATACTTATGATCCCGTTCATGCTCAGTGGATGGCACCACGGTACGACATGGTAACCAGTGCTCCCAGCCACGTGGGTGCCATTTATGTCCACCGCTTCCGTGATAACGACCCCGTTAATCTCATCACCCACCAGTCTCGACATTACACGGGTAAGAGAATTGTTAATAATTATTCTCCTTGCAAAACTTGTTTTGGTATATGTTTGAGAACAATTACTGTTTGAACTTTATAATGACTAATTATTATTATTTAGTATAAAAGAAGTACAGGTAGTATTTCCAGTCAAAAAACATGAACAATAACACATTTCAATACAGATAAATGAAACACAGATGAATTATATATATTTTTGTGAAAGTTTTCAGTGACAACTTTGCATTGTTTATCAAAATGAAGAACATTAAAAAAATAAATATGTACTGTTTATTTACTTTCAGATTTGGACAGCTGGCTAAAACTGTTTGGAGTTGATTTGTCCAAGATGTTAGGCTCCAGTTACCATGATGAGACTGTGGAAAAACAAAGAGTTGGACTGTTAAAAGCTTCTCAATTAAAACCATCTCTCAGTGTTATATCAGGCTTGTCCTGCTCCACAGAAAGTGTACTTAGAGAGTTTTCAAGACCATCTCTTCTACCGTTGTCCCTCGTAAGATCAGATGCCTCGGCGTCAGCAATTCCTGGCTGGGCAGCACTTAGGAGATTTTCATCGTCGCCACCAGTTTTGGGCCCGGGAGTGTTGGTGTCTCGGGTGAACGGTAGGGCATTAGTCAGTTTGGTGCCATCAAAAGAAAATCCTGTGGTACAAGATGTAGCCAGGGATGTTCTTAATGGCTCAGCCTTACTAGATGTGACCCTCACTCACCATCACCACCATACACTTTATTTAGTCAAGGAAAATGCCGAACTTCGCCACGACGATTTACAACAACTTCAGCGATTAAGCGGCCGTTTCAACGTGTCGGCTAAAGACAACGGAGAGCACCACGAAATAAGAGTGGTGGGCAGTGACGTATCTCTGGTATTGTTATATGGCATTGATCCACCCAGTGCCCGTCACCGCCTCTTGCGTCACGCCCATCGTCGGGCTGTCGACCGCGCATGGGAAAATGAGCGCCTCTTAGTGGAGCGTGGGTCTCCCACTTCCCATGAATGGACAGTGGAAGAACGCGTTGAGCTCGAGAGTAAGGGAACTGTGGCAGGATACGTGGCAGCCGATATGCACTCCATTCATCGGTATCCACTGCTGGCCGATGACCCCACCAATGTGGTGTTTCGACGAGACACCGGACGGCGGCGACGACGTAGCCAAGTGGGCACTCACTCGTGATCCCCGGGGCTGGGCGCGGCCCTTGTACATACCGCTGTATAGTGTAGCGCTGTGAACCTGTACACACTGTACAAACAGGGTATTTCTCACACATTGTACACAACTCTCCGAGCCGGAGAATAATCCTCACATGTGATAGAGGCAGACTGTGCGGTGCAGGCCATTGTGTCAGTAACTGGAGCTGCTGGGGTGAGTCAATGTGGGTACCAATATGGTGCCAAGGACCACTTGGTGAATGGGGCACAGCCGATTTCTTATGCCCCATAAGCAGCCCTGGAGCACTTCATTGCTGGCCTTTGTATATAGTGCAAGCCTAGCGGTATTTTGTATTACCGCCAAGATAGTCGAGGTTCTGCATTGGTATATAATTTTGCTGCTTAACATTCCACCATGAATTATGTACTCCTATGGACAGACAAGTATGCAAAGTTGGTGTGAAGCACAGAGACAGCAAGACATATATATTTTGTACGTTTTTGTTACAATCATGTCCATTATTTAGAGATACTTAATGCCTATTTCCATTTGAATGTGTCCCGTGTCCTAGCGAGATGTCTTATGGTGTGAGGCAAGGGCTGGAACTTCCACTAAAAATAATGACTGAATTTTTTATAGAATAAATGAACATACTGTTGACATGCTGTATATATATATAATAGAATATTAAGAATTATTCAAGTATTTATGCATGTGTACATTTTGACCTTCCCTGCACAGTAGGAATCAAACTTTTTTATTGAAAAAGTCTCCGGCTCTACCCTCTTATTTTTAATTAAAATAAATGCAGCAATTATGAGGCTAAAAAAAGATTGCATTAAAGTTCATTTTCTCCTTCTAGCATATAGAAAGTGAGCTCTAATGACAGGCTCGTTGTTACTGGTCGAGTCACTATAAGACATCCCGCCCGAACTGCAATAATTAAGCGAACATTGAGGTCCAGATGCGTGGCGTTTCTCTGTTTTCTGGTCCATATGACGTGTAGCTGGCAATATTAGTGATTCATTGTTGTTTCTCATGTTTAAGGTAAGCTCATGTGGGTTGGTTGGTTATCTGCTGTGACAAGCCACTAGTTTGAATGTCTGATTGATATTAGTAATATTTAAATACATTTATTTTCAAGATAGCATCTCTCAACAAAGGAATTATTTTCCTCGGTAAAAAAAAATCAAAATCTCATCATTGCAGCAGAATCATTTTTGTATAATGTCATAATGTTCACCCAAAAAAAAATAGCACAATTCAAAATTTAATGATTTCATAAACTTGACAACCCAACTTTGCTAGAAGATTGTGAATGATAACTTGTTATGGCATGAGCAATATTTCTAGAGAAAGATGATTCATAAATCCTGCAGACAAAATTAACTTCAAGCATTAGTCTTATACATAAAAAATAATCAACATAAATCTTAGGGAACATTGTATATGCAGGAGGTTATCATTCATCTCAATATATTTTCACTACCCGAGAGAAACCGTCTACCAAGAAGTACAGTACTTATCCAGTTATGTCAAATGATCACTCAACATATTTCCCTTGAAATTGGTGGATGCAGAGTGGATTTTAGTCCAGACTACATTGAGCTCACCCTAGTTACAGTCACAAGATTGGTGCTTTATTTCTTAGTGTTTAGACTACTTCTGTTGTCTCAAGTGATACAGAGTAGTAGTATTGGTTGACTTTGTTGGTGCTTTTTATTTATTTACTTGAATCTTGGGTGGTATAAGCTCTAAATTTATTTTACTTAATTTGCACATTAGTACAGCTTGGCGCAACCAACATATCAAGACACTGTAGATTAGGCTATATGTTCATGTGCCATAGAGTTCACATTGGTTGCTTGTGCCAAGAATTAAAATTGGGGGTATGTTTTGTACAGGCATGTCAAGAGATGAATGTTAGATTAGCCAAAGATGTGAATGATGTTGAATTACTATATTCTCGTGCCCTCCCATCTACCTGCGATATCTACAAAGTTATGCATAGCCAGGTCTATTTCTCTCTACAGGACAGTGTGGTTTGTACATTAAAAGGGAGATATTTCAATCTCGTTGTTTGTCTTCTTTCATGTTGACTTCTTCATCCATGTATAGATTTTTATTTTTTTTTTAAATATTTCCCTCTCCCATTCAATATGCCTCACTCTCCTAACTTTAGAATATTTCATGTCTTAACAAATTGTCTCTTCTGTATAGTTAAATGCATTATTAATTGCAATGCCAAGCAAATAAGGGTCCTAAAACACTCATCACATATTATAATAAAATGACAAGTCCACACACATTCACACACACAGCAGTACACACACGTCTTTGGTAACAAAACTGTTCCTACAAGTTCTGTCGGAAGAAAAATTTTGCAGCACACATACGAGGGTTGCATTATTATGTAATCATTCTAAGATCATTTAGTGGACAGTATCTCAAAAAAATATCTGCCAGGATGGGTCCGATGACTTCTGAAAAGCTACATGCAACTCATGATGTCCCGGGATGGTTGGTATGCGTGGCTCTGTGGCATACTGATCCTACTACATTTGGTAACTGAACATCATATTAATTATGCTGAAATAAATACACTTTGCATTACTTGTGTTAAACCATTGTATATATCAAAGTAAATGTGTGTCCCAATACAGTATCTTTCATCCACGGCCTCATAATGTTTCACACAGAGTGTGGACAGATAATTTTTTGAGATACTGTACATGCATTACCGTGTATTGCATTAATAGGAATTATACCTGTCATACACAAGAACTCACATGAAATAGTTCCACATTAAATGGCCATAAGAATTGGTTCCATTGACCTCAGTCTTGTTTCTCCTCTAGACTTCTCCAGACTCAGTCGTCCAGAATTTAGAAATATTTAGATAATCTAGTGTTAAACTGCAAAAGCGATGTTATTTTATGAAAGGAGAGGTAGATAGTTGCACACAAGCTCTTGCAAGAAAGATTATGTTTTATATAGTAATTATGTATAAAATACTTTTAGTCCCATGATTTATCAAACCATGGTGTTATTTTGTCCAGATCCCTGAAGTCATATATTTTGTGGGATTTTTTAAACTGCAATATTTAGATATTTTACTTACTATATATAGGGAGTATTGTGCAACATTGGGCATTATTATTATTATTCATTATTAATATATACATAGAGATCAGTGAATGAAAAAACAAATGTATGTACTTTTGTCTTTCCCACACAATCTTTAAATTTGTAGTCTAATAAGTGTTGAGCGATGCTATGTTTGTACCGTACAAGCCCACAACGTGGGCTCCCGCGATTAATGTTATTGTAAACAAGAGAGATTATGTGCACGGGGACTGCAGGTCTCCGCTAAAATAAAATATGGCGTAAAAATCTTCTTTGTCTTCAACCAATTGTTACAAAATGTAATATATATATATATATATATATATATATATATATATATATATATATATATATATATATATATATATCACACGGGGAAAAGGGAAACAACGGAGCACCATAGCTTCCGTCTTTATTCAAGACATTTTCAGAGGCAACAGTTGCCTCTGAAGATGTCTTGAATAAAGACGGAAGCTATGGTGCTCCGTTTTTTCCCTTTTCCCGTGTGATTTTATCAAGATATATGTGTATATATATATATATATATATATATATGTGTACAGTGAACCCTCACTTTACGCGGTTAATTCAACCCACGGCGGCCCGCGTAAAGTGAGAAACGCGTAAACTGAACAACATAACATATGGGATTAATTGAAATAGAGACCGGGCCGACCCCCAAACTCCACTTTTTCAGACACAATACCTACGTTGTAGTAAAAATAACTTATTAATTTTATGATGGTATGCGCACACAATTAATAATTAAGAGAAATATCAATAATATTAGGTTTTGTAACACTTACATTAGTAGAAAAGATGGCTGGGCACACGGGGATGGGGGGTTGGTTCCGTGGCAGAGGGCAGATTATTGGCCCTCGCCTGTATCACTTGTATCACTATCCACCACAGAGGCTTGCAGGGCCTCTTTTTCAAACCCTTCAAAGTCCATATCCTCACTATCACTGACTTGGGCCGGCTGTGGTGGGTGGTGGGTGAAGAACTCGGTAATGTTTTGATGACTGGGCGACCTTGTGCGCACCCTGCCCGCGCCGCTCTCCGCTTAAAAGAGTACATGCACCACGTAAAGTGAGCATTCCGGGTCTGGCAGGGTACCATGGAAACGTGTAAAAAAAAAAATGTGTAAAGAGGGGTAACACTTTGTGCGTGTGTGTGCAGTCATGTGCCAGTTAACGTCCGATCGCATATACGTCCGTGGCTCCTCCCCCCCCCCTCCCCCCCAAAAAAATCCGTGAACGCCTGCTGGACCACCACTCCACGACCCTCTGACGGAGACACGATGATCCTCCCCATACTGGTCAGATATGTGTTAAAGGAATATGCTTCCTATCTTAGGCTATTTTTAAACATTTGCCTCCAGGTGTAATGTCAACCTACATCTATTGAGGATAAAATCTTTCACCTACAACTTGACAATAACACATTTGCTGTAATCAGACATATCTAGTTGCCTCAACAATTGCAACCCCAGTTGCAATTGGGGTTGCAATTTCAAATTCTGTGGCATTACTAAGTATAGTGAAGTCTCTGGTGCACTCTAAGATTAAGAGAGAAATCGGAGGACTCGGGCGTCCTGATGTGAGAGAAAACGGACTCGTATGACGGGGGACCAAATATAAAAAGCATAGCTACATGTTTTGTGGACTACAGTATTAAGCGTACCCTTTTCATCACTTTGTAATAAACCTAGCCATGCCTATGTGTGTTTATGATATTTACCATAACATTATATATATATATATTTAGTGGGTCTAAATGGTCGTAAAATGGGAAACTTGGGGTTGGGTCTTGGGTAAATGAACCAATTAGAATAAATCCCATAGGTTCTGTACTTTCGCTATCGGCGGGGTCCCAATTAGGCGCTATAACCAAGGAATGACTGTACTGTACTGTACAGTGAGTTCTGCTATAGCGCGTGTTTTGATAACGCGAATTTGCTCTAACGCGATTTATGAATTAGGAACGATATTTGTATAACGCGATTTTTGCTTACTATTTCTCCAATTTTGTGGGGTATGCTATAACGAATCTAATTGGTTCTAGAACCTTGTTCGTTATAGCATTCGTTTGTTATAGGATTAATCCGTTCCAGGCCCCCAAATACAACCACTTAACACTGAAAAATATAAAATAAAATTGTAAAAATTGTAAAAAAGTGCATAAATATGCATCTAAACCCCTGAAATAAAGAATATCATTAATATTTGTAATAATAAAACAATAAATTAGAAAAAAAAAAAAAAATTTAAATTATGTTCGTTGTAGGAGTTTCGTTCGTTATAGCATTCTCAATTTTATAGGTAAAACCGTTCGTTATAGGAATATTCGTAGTAGGATCCGTTCGTTATAGCATACCCCACTGTATTAACTATGAATATAATAAAGAAGAATATCAACAAGAAGCGTTCTGGTGATAGAATTCCCGGTGATGATCGTAAAAGAAAGGATATAACACTTGAAGAGAAGCTCGATTTTATCAACCTCAAAATCACCCTTCTCCCCCATCAAGTAAAGTGTTACATTTACTGTATAATTTCATTATTAGATATGAATGTAACATTTATTTAGACTGTGCTATCCGTTGTGTCAGTCTTACTAATAGTGTCAGTCTTACCAATAGTGTCGGTCTTACCAATAGTGTCAGTCTTACTAATAGTGTCAGTCTTACTAATAATGTCAGTCTTACCAATAGTGTCGGTCTTACCAATAGTGTCAGTCTTACCAATAGTGTCGGTCTTACTAATAGTGTCAGTCCCT